TATAATGAATGAGTTCAAACAAACTAAAACTTACAGCTGATTAATAACGGTATCTAACTTGAGTTTTTATTATATCAAAAACCTGTTGAAATGCTGCTGTTATGTTTACTGTCCCCCAAAAGCCCGTCGGCAGCCTCCAGGAATGCTCCTTTCACAACTTCGCCGTCTTTGAAAGACTTCATGTGTTTCGCAAGAACGTGCCTGACACGATAAGATGCTCTGGTAGCAGCCTTGCTCTTGTTGTTGGGCCTGGTGAAAATGGACTGCTGTGCATTTAGCTGTGCTTTCAGGCCCCTCCCCTTTTGGAGCGTAGGGCAGAATTAGGAGGGAATTCCGTCTCGTAGCGTTTGTGCACTGTTTTGAAATGCCGCTCCTAAATTACCCTTCTTCGATAAAGCCACGCTCGCATTGCAGATGAGACAGATGGACTTTGAATTGGAATAGTTACACAAATAATCATTCTCCCACTCGGAGTGAAAATTATATATTTTGGGCTTTCTTGCTTCTGCCATAATTGCGGTCTTGTGTGTGTGCGGACTGTCACTCCTGTTGACACGGACAATGTCAGCGAACTAGTGCACTGCCCACTGCCCACCAGCCACGCCCCGACACAGGGGTCACGCTGGCCAATCACAAAGCTTTGATGCGTTCAAGTGCATTATTCTGGCACAGGAAGATTATGTTATAGGACGTTAACGATAAAACTGAATATTGTTGTTCTATTTTTAGACACATCTCGCGATCGACTAGGAATCTCCCCGCGATCGACCGGTCGATCGCGATCGACTGGATGGGCACCCCTGCTGTAGCTTATGCAATTTAGGCCTATAAATTGTTTATGTAATTTATGTGCCTGTGTGTCCATGGTTTTGAGTCTATGTGTGTGTTGAGCGCAGCGCCGTCTGCTTTTTGCAGTACAGTAACTAAAGTAGGACTAAGCATACCGGTAGTTTCTGTGGACCTGTTTGCCCGTTTTGTGAGTGCACTGCGCGCGTGCGCACTTGTGTGGCATTGTTTGGGATGACCTGATTAAAATAGCGTCCCCCCAGTAAAAAAAATCCCCACTACACCACTGCCCCTACCCCTCCGTTTGCGCGTTCACGCGGAGGGTCCGCCATATTGAGGGCTGTTCCAAACCAACGAGTGTGGAGCGGTGTGGAGGGGGAGTGGGCTATCAAGCCCTCAAACAACGAGTCTGCAGCGGTACTGACTTGAGACCGGTCTCTATCTGACCGGAGTCACGCTGTATGTGTCCGTCAGGAAACAAGCTGTTTACAAGTAGTTCCAGCAAACATCCGCTGATAAACTGCGATGTTAACAACCTCATGATAACCTCATATGTTTTTAACTTAGGATCGTACCTGTGTTTAGTCTAGAAAAAGGTAAATGTGTGCATTCTATTATAAAGTTGTGTATATTTACAGACTGTTGCAAAAACTAAGAAGCTTATAAACATCAGGTTTAAAACTAAAAGAGCTTTGAAACACAATGAAAGATGTTTGGAGTTTTATTTGAGTTATTCATTTAAACTTTTTGTCTAAGAGATGCTGATTTGAAACCGTTGTTACATACAGTTACGGCATTTCCTGTTTCTGCCGGAGAGAGGGGAGTTTGTCCCAAAGCTTGCTGCTGTATTTACTCCCTCCATCTGACAGGAGGGAGCCTCATTGAGCTGCGAGTGTGGCTACAGACGGAGTTCACTCCATCACGGAGGGGTAGGGTCGAGGGAGTGGTTTGGGATTGGGCCTTAATCTATTGATTCGTGTTCACCAACACGATTTTCCCCTTTTTTTCGTATCACACAGAACGATTTTAAAAGCAATGTATTTCTATTGGTAGCATGTTTCGTGCCTGCAGCACGTCTTTTTGTCCGTTCGGGTCGTGGAAGACCGGAAGCTGTGGGGTTCATAAAAACATATTCTTACTCAATATCAAGCCACGATTATTGTTTTTATTTCAAATCGTATAATGTCGGACTTTTTTTGTCGTCTGTGAGGAAAATAAATGGGGCTCAGAGCCTCAGAATATTGAACTCTGTGTTTTTTTAAATCTTTTTTTCCTTCTAATTTGTTATTCTTTTCAAAAATAACACACTGTTATTTACTTACCAATAACACACAATTATCCTTGCTTTTATTTATTTGTTTAATTCCATAATCTCGGGCTTTGTTGGCGTCCGTCAGGAACTGAATTTCAAAATAAAAATAACCGTATCGCATCATTGCGATACACAGCCACTGAACTGATTACCCAAGATCCTCAGCTATGGTTTAAGCTCGCTGATTGGATGTTTTAGCCGCAATGCATGTAGGGATATGGTGTTCATCCCATATCAAATCCGAAAAACTTTTTTTTTAAAAGAAAATAATACTTTATTCCGAGTGTTCTTGCTTTTCTCTTTGAAAGTCATCACATAACGGCATTGTAATACACGGTTCGGCTGCATTACATATTACAGATCTGCCGTAGTTCTTTATTTATAGAGCCCTGATTAGAAGACCTTTGGAAAAACTGGAAGAAATGCCGCCGAAACTGAATACTTGACGTGGATCATAAATATATCAACAATTAAACAACATCTTCAATTTCTCTTCACACAATATTATTATGGCTGTGTGTACCTTGTGTGCACCGCCTAGTGGTCAAAGCACGTTATTGAATTATTGTTTTTATGTGTTATATTTCATTAAAAAAATATTAAGAGTACATACTTTCATAGGGGGAAAGTAGAAGGTCTGTGATAGAAATATATAATATAAAAAATCAAGAAGATACTATAAGTGATCTCTACAATAAAACAGTTTAGTGCAGCATGTACAAAGATATTAATATGAGGATGTGCAAAACAGAAAAACAAATTAACCTTTATTTAAACATTAAATAATACTTTAGATTAAGGTCTTCTTTTAAATAAGAAAAAAACTTTGGGGGTATCTATCTACAGATAAATATTAAGCCTGACAAAGTATTTAACGTCTAATATATTGCTTTCCTGCAATGTTAACTATGTTGAAGCACTTATTTTAAACTGATATTATACATATGAATTATACTCTTATGTATGTAGATAGTATAAGAAATGTGCAGAATATGACAGTTTAATGGTGGAGGTATACACACATATTGATAGATGTCTTGTAATGCGCTGTTGAGGAACCTGTGACCCAAGTTTTTCATTCATTGCATAACTACACCATAGTTGTGTATATGATATGTCAATAAACCTTAGAAAATCTTGAAATCTTGAAAGGGATGTGCAAAATAGCCTTAATATACAGTCTTTAATGAACTATTAGTAGAGAATAACGAGTAATGAATATACTTTATTACTCGTTTCCATTCATGTCAATTGCACATAAATGTTTAGTCTTCTCAAGCACCAACTATCAAATATCTCTCCTGATTGTTGGCACTTGACAATCACCTTACCTGCATTTTACTCAGGTGTAACTAAAGTCTGATTTAAGGGTTGTTTATATTTCACATCATTAATCAGAATCTGCAAAGTAACTCAAATAAGTGTAGTGGAGTAAAGATACCAGGTTAACCTCTGAATTGTATTGGAGTAGAATTACAAATTATCAATGAGCTGTCATGTGGGTATTAATGCTGCGCATTATGGACACAAGCGATTTTCACCCATTTATTAATTATATGTTTTACATTTGATAACACCAATGTGTTTAATACTGGCAACTTCTAATTGTGGGAAAAACGAAAACGTTCAGTAGAGACGTCCCATAGAACATTTTGTGAAACACAATAGCCAGCATGTGTAGTTCTGGGGGGGCGTTCGATTCCAGTTTTGGATAGTCTGGCGTGGTTTCGTTCCACTTCAAACAGCTGTTTGACGCTCTGCGTAACCTTGGCGCACTGCCACTCCAACATCCAATCCCAGAGCTTGAAGATTAATCATGGAGACTGTAGTCCTAAACGATAGCTGGGGATTATGGGTAGTGTAATGTCTTCGGCCATCCTAAACTCAGAAATGTTTTTCGGATTTGATATGGCATTAACACCATATCCCTACATGCATTGCGGCTAAAACATCCAATCAGCGAGCTTAAACCATAGCTGAGGATCTTGGGTAATCAGTTCAGTGGCTGTGTATCGCAATGATGCTACGTCTGTTTCCGGTTATTTTTATTTTGAAATTCAGTTCCTGACGGACGCCAACAAAGCCCGAGATTATGGAATTAAACAAATAAATAAAAGCAAGGATAATTGTGTGTTATTGGTGAGTAAATAACAGTGTGTTATTTTGAAAAAAATAACAAATTAGAAGGAAAAAAAGATTTAAAAAAATACAGATTTCATTATTCTGAGGCTCTGAGCCCCATTTATTTTCCTCACAGACGACAAAAAAAGTCCGACATTATACGATTTAAAATAAAAACAATAATCGTGGCTTGATATTGAGTAAGAACATGTTTTTATATTATTTCCAAGGCACTCCTTATAATTATTGGGATAAACAGGTTTGAAATAATTTCAATGGATACTATAGGACAGTAAACCAAAAATATCGCTTAAAACTGGAGAGATAAAAAAATATGCATAGATAAATAAATGTAAACTGGGTAAAATAAGATATAACAAAAATAAAGCCAGCTAAAATCTCGCCTTGGGCAGCACATTGTCTAGAGCCGGCCCTGCACACACACACACACACACACACACACACACACACACACACACACACACACACACACACACACACACACACACACACACACACACACACACACACACACACACACACACACACACACACACACACACACACACACAAATTAAAGCTAATTCTCCGAACTTTCTTTCTCCACTTGAAACCACGTGTAGGGTTTCAACCTCAACAGTGACGGAAAGCTTCACTGACCAATGAAAACGAAGGATATCTCGGCCTCCCTCGGCTCAGGGTCTTATGGAACCAATGGCGCAGCAGCAGAGGCGGGGCCTGTCGGAGGAGGCGTGTCCTGCAGCACAGAGACCCTCCAGCCGGGGTTACTGCAACTTCTCCAGTTTAGGGAAACTGCGCCGTCCGCTATAGTCCCCTTAACACCACCCGCCACCTCTTCTCCTTTATTATACCCTGCTTTGCTTTACCATGCATAACAGCCTTGTTCCCCATGTGCTCCTCTCTTTTCTCTGCATCGGATTGAGTGGTAAGTACTGACTTCGAACTCTTTACGTAGGAGCTGTGAGTGTGTACGCCTATTTCTCTTAGATATAGGTCATGACTAGAGCAATCCTATTCCTCCCTCTAACAGTGTTACTAAAGAGCAGTTGTATGAAGTTGCCTCCTCCTGTCTGCTTGTTAGATCCCCACCATGGGAGTGCAGTTTCAGCAGATTGTTAGTGGAGCTGCGGCTGAACGTGGCTCAGTCACGGAGCATGAGAGCACGGTTCAGTCAGTTCACAGAGGCAGGACAGGCTGTGTATGGCCGCTGTTTGATGGAAACTAACGCCCCCCCCCTCTTCCACAGCCCAGACTGAGCTGGAGACGGATGAGGTGGTCCCCCGGCTGCTGTCCGGGCAGGAGGCGCACCTGTCCCCCCGACACACCGTCCGCTCCCTGCGGCGCCGCGGCCAGCGCTCCCTGCACGGCCCGGGCGGAGGACCCTCTGACCCGGATCACATCATCCTGTCACTGCCCGCTTTCGGAAGGAGCCTCTATTTAAATCTGACGCGGGACAGTGCGTTTCTCTCCCGGGACTTTGTGGTGGAGGAGCGGCTGAGCGGAGAGCAGAGCCCGGCAGTGAGCAGCCTGTCCCGGGAGCAGCTCTGCTTCTACTCCGGCTCCATCATCAACCACACCGACTCCTTGGCGTCCCTCAGCACCTGTGGAGGCCTGGTAAACTGTTCTTCTCTTTTTGGACCTGTTGATAGCTTTCATGTCATTCAGAAATCACAGCAGCTCCACATTGTAGAGAATGTATTTAATGATTACATTAACGCAGGCTGGTTGACAGTAGCTCAACCCCCCTGAAGCTCCTTTCGCATCAGGTTAAGGCTATGCATGTAATATGTTGGACCTGCTGACCTGCAGGGGGTCAGTCAGTTCAAAGTCACACTTTACAGTCAAATACTGTACAAACTAACACAACTGCATTTTAAATGTGGGGATGCCAGCTTCCAAAGATAAATCTGCCAGAATCAAAATTGCAGAACTGTTTCTAAAATTATTCAAAAGACCAGCGTTCAAAACATGAAGTCACTCAATTTTCACTTACTAGCTTTTATGGAGCACTGACAGCCTCTCAGTCACATCAGTAGATGGAAGATGAGCAAACTGTCTTCCGATGAAGACAAATAAAAACTAGTACGTTTATGAAAAGGTTATCAAACTGGTTTTGTAAACATTTCAAATTGATTGCGATACAGTGAAATACAAAGATCCCTCCAGCAAATTGGGATAGATAACATGGGCAACATGTATTTAGGGAGGTCAAACCCTCTAAATGACAGCACAGGCTAGCCAAAGATCTCAAACAGAAGGTTTAACCTCCGCCAGGACTCTCTATCGGCCAGTCTGCTGTTCTGTTGCACTTTTCTTTAACCTTCCTTTGGATGAAGGTTAAAGTTTAGTTTTTTAGTTTAGTTTATTTATTTTTTTCGAGCGTGTAAAACCAAAGAAAATACAAATGAAACAAAATATGATACAGACATGATACAGCAGGGGCGGACTGGGAGAAAAAAGTGGCCCGAGGATTAATTGACAGACAGGCCCACTTAATGCGCAGCATGTATCGGCCGGCCGGCGACGAAAGCATGTTACTTAACAAAAAACCCTATGCATTTTATGTTATTCTGGACCATTATTCATATAGTAATCACATTACCTGAGCCCTTGAGTTGCCTAGAGCAAAATAGTTACAGCATATATTTAGTGATTTTAATGTTAACAGATCATTGATGCATTAACATTTTGACCCAATTTGCCTGACTTGGCACATGGAATAAAACATGGGCGTAGGAAGCATCCTCAATGTGGGTGAGACAATTTAACAGGGGGTGTGGGCAGGTGGTGGACCTCACCTCCTCTAGGGGGGTCCGGGGGCAAGCTCCCCCGGGAAGATTTTTGTTTTAAATGTTGAATTTAAATGCATCAATCTGGTCCATTTTGAGAGCAAAATTAGGGACTAAATCTATGGATACATCTCTCAACACCCATATGAAACAGAACTGTAAACAGATTTACTTTTTCTTTCAACATTTATTTGAACAGCAAGTGGAGGCAAAAGTGACTGCACCCAAAACAATAAACCTGCTAGCTAACTAGCCTAAACTCAGTAACAGAATGTGGGCAACACGTTCTTCTCCACAGCCGCGCGACCTCTGAGTCAGACGTCACTTCCCCCTCTTCTATCCTACGGGTGCAGCCACTCCCCCTGAACCCCGTTTCCCTGCCAACCCAAAAAATCTTCAGTAATAGCCTATCAGCAGAGATGGGGTCGTTACTAAAAAAAAGTAATATATTACATATTACATATTACTTAAAAAAAAAAGTAATATATTACACTACTTCGTTACTCTCTACATAAAGTAACTCGTTACTTTACTCGTTACTTTACTCGCAGGGCCGGCCCGCCCCTCCCTGCAGGCAGATCACGCAGACTGCTAAAGTTTCAAATGTTCTCTTTAGTTCAGTTTCCATTGTCGCATCAGACTGATCCAGATCCTGAATGTTTTCCTATCTGACCGTGGCTGTCCTCTGTCTCCTGCTATCTGTATATTTTGCGCAGTCTATCTCTGCTCACGCTGTTGAGTCGGCGTGTTCTCCTGCGTGTTGGCCATGTGTTGCACTGGAACCAGACACCGCAAAGACTTCAGCCGAGCACGTACGAACTGCGCATGCGTGAGTGGCAATAACTCTCCTTACCAGCAGGCGGCGGTAGTGTGTATTCATCATTCAAAACAGGCAACAACCGGAAAACAGAGAAGAAGAACAGACTGCTAAACAAACAACAAATAGCTGTGCGTTAGCTTCACCTTAACATGTGTTCTTTGCAGGTGTTTGTTGAGGTTTGATTATGACTGATTTTAGTAAGTAACGCGTGTCGGGGCAATGTTAGTAACTGTAGTGTGATTACTGAATTATAAAAGTAGCGCGTTACACTACTCCGTTACCGACAAAAGTAATATTATTACAGTAACTTTGTAACGCGTTACACCCAACTCTGCCTATCAGATAGCGCTGTGGGCGGGACATTGCTCGTGTACACAGAGTGGTGACTGCAGCCAGAGAAACGGCCGCATCAGAGCCAAAGTTTTATCGGCAATTTGATAAAAAAAGGCTGATACCGATAATCGGTCAAATGCGGAATATCGGCCCCGATAATCGGCCAACCCCTAATATGCATGTTATGTACACATTATCGAAGTGATACTGACATCCACCTGAAGCCTTCATTAGAACAAATGTCATGTTTTTAATGTTGTTTAATAGTCTGCAATAATCACTAATTTATTAGTGTCAAGATTGGGAAGTCACATAGTAATAAATGTAAATGTATTATTACCTCACTGAATTAGTAATTTCTGCAGCAGCTCACTTTTCTCTACAACACCATCTATAATTTGGTCACTATCCAGCATCTTCAAAACATCTGGTTGAGTAGCCATGAGCATAAAGGCCTCCAGGTTCTGTTGAGAGAGCGAGCTCCTGAGCCTGTTTTTGATGAATTTTAGTGTTGAAAAGCTTCGCTCGCATGCTACCTGTGTGACAGACAAGGTATGCAGGAACCTATATGCAAGGCCAATGATGTGGTATGCATCTGTCAGGAGGTTGTACTGCTTAAGGATACGGTAGCAACACCATGGGCAGTCCTTGCAAGATGAGCACTTTTTATATACCATCTCCGCTTCATCTTCAGCATCCTCTGGCCCAGCCTCTGTTGTCTTGGTTGTGTATTCCTCAAATACAGATGTCTTCAACCTATTCCACTGTCCTGCCAGACTGATGAGCTCACTCTGTAAATTGGCCACCGTTGCTCTGTCATCAAATGGCAGCAAGCACTTGCTTAATTCTTGGAGTGCTGCCTCTGGGAAACCACCGGCATAAGATGTTACCTGGCTGAATCTTTTTGGGTCCAGAAGTGCCAAATCAGCATACAAAGTGCCATTTTTGAGGAAGCGCTGGTGCATGCTTCCTGTGACTGTGTCCATGATTTGATTATGGACATCAATCTTGTATGATGTTTCAGCATCAGTCACAGCCTCATCCTTGGACATCTCTCCAGGCATGGTTTTCTTCTTTCTACCCCGTTTCTGTGGCAAAGCGGCCTCAACCTCCAGCTCAGTCTCCTCACTCTGCTCCTCTGTTTGATTGTTGGCCCACTGGACGAATGTGGCGGCCGCCGTCTTGACTTTCTCGAAGTCTCTGGTCATATCTTTCAGCTGTGTTTCTGCAGCCACAATCATCCGATGAGCTGTCAGGATGTCCATTCCACTTGTCTGAAGGTATTTTGAGACTGGTGAGGTGACCTGGACAATTCTCAGGAAGATCTGAGCTGTAAGTATTGTTTCATACCTCAGAAGCTGGGTGATGTATCCACGTGCATTGACCCGTGCAGTGGCGTTGATGGTCTGTCCATGTTGAATGGCGGAGAGGGTATGAAGGACATCAACATACAGGGCATTATCTGGCTTTCCAAAAGAGCCAAATACCTTAGTCACAGCAACGTCTTTGGACCACCAGCGTGTCTCTCCAATCGGGGCGAGACGTCTGTGTCTTGGGTCTTTGCTCTCCTTCTCCCAGTTTTAGGGCTGTACAAGGGCGTGGAATCAAATGCACGATGCAGAGACAAACAAAGTATCAAAAATAAAGTGTTTTAATGTAGACAGGTCATAACACACTGAATACATAAAGAAACAAAACAAAAACTATTAATACACTAATCTAACTCTATGGACGATAACTCTATTGACAATGACAAAAGGATCTTACGCTGGAAGGCTTGGAACACACAAGACAATCTGGCAACGAGACAGGGGAAGACGAAAACTATATATACTAGACCAGGGGTATTCAACTAAAATGCAACGAGGTCCAGTTAGAGAAAATCTCCCCATGCTAAGGTCCGGAACATCATAATGTCTAAGTTGCTTTATGAATTAGTGTGATATTGAAGTAGCTGTAGCTTTATCAACGTCTGCATGTAATCAACAACTGACTGCCAATCAAATAAAGAAAGTACAATTCAAAAACAACAATATTTATAGTCAATGAACATTGAACTATACAGATATACAGTAAATACTGTGGATATGTGTATTGTTCCTCTCGGGCTGCATTTACAAATAAAATAGAGTGTAGCAGCAGCTTGAGTTTCTCTTTTTCTTTGTTAACCGTTTCACATCATGACTTAACAGTTTCAGCCGATTATAGAACAATATCAGTCTTTACACATCATAGCAATTGAACAGTTTTAAAGTTTCTCTTTCTGTCCCTCTTATATTGCAGTCCTTCACTCACTTTGTTTTGTTCAGTGCGAGAATTGAGCTTGAGCTTGTCCTGCCAGGAGTTAGTAAATCTGGGCTGAAATGGTGTCAGGGCCATTCTCACACACATGCAGGTGCTCATTGGTTTCAGTGATGCAAACACAGGTATGGTGAAAAAAGAGAGAACTATTCCAAGCAGAAAAAAAACAGCATAATATACCATCTGACAAAGGCCTGTGCTATAATGCTTCAATTAACTGGCTATTCTTTATAATATACTCAGATCAATAGGAGACAGAGATGTTAAGTTAAAAATCAAGGGTTTTTATTATTATTTACAGCAGGGGTGGGGACCCTTTTTCCTTTCAATTTTTACATCATCCTCCGAGGGTCGTACAAATGATTGAACTC